AAGCGTCACATCGCATCCCCAGACGGCCCTTCGGAGCTTTCTTTTACCCCATTCTTGTTCTCTCAGGCAGCCTCAACACCTGCTATGTTATGTATGTAAAAAGATAAAGAAAATAAAAAATGAAAGACCAGATCTTGCACATAAAATGCTCATACACAGTAGGGGACGAGCGAGCAAAGCACAGGCAAGATAGCGTGTGATAAAGGGTGATAGGGCGGGTGGTGCGGGAGCCAGAGGCCACCCTGGGAGAGGTGAAGGGCACTAGCCTGGCTTCCTCTGTGGCCAGCTGTCCAAGGGTGAGGAGGTGGGGCTTGGGAGGTGTGGCAATCCAGTGAAGGAAACATGAGCCGAAGTGTGGAGCCGGGGGAGAACGTGGCCCCACTAAACAGCCACACGTGGTTTGGTTTGGCCCCAGTACAGGCAACAGGGAGAGGAGGCGAGGATGTGGCTGGCAGAGTCAAGCCGTGAGAAACCCAAAGTGCCAGGCTGTGTGGTTTGGACTTTGCTGGGAGATGCCTCCATGAGGCACCATGGAGGTGCCTCAATAGTGTGTGGAAGCAGGGCATTGGGGTGAGAGGCTGGTGTTGTCATGGTGGCAAGAGGGGATAAGGTAAGGAGATTAAGAGTGGTAAACTGGGAACCAGCAGTTGGCATAATGGCTTTGTTGCTGGACTCCCATGTAGTTGACTATGGTTCAAGTCCCAGACCCAGTGGCTTAAACTCACGCTGAACGCATGTGCATATGTGCCCAAGATTCCAAGAGAAGGGATTGCAGCATGGCCATCCCCCCCCCCAAGGGGGTGATTTCTTGCTTTCTGTCTCTCTGTCTTTCTGGCGAGCACACGCGCCCCATACCAAAAACCTCTCAAAAAAAAAAGACAGCAAACTGACCCCAGATAGATAGACAGAAAGACAGAAGATCAGGGGGCTTCAAACAGTTTGTAGAAAATAGAATTAAAGTATGAGTTTATTTTGGTGCAAAAAAAATATTTTTTTAATGCTAGAAGGTACATGCACTCACCAGAAAGAGAAAGCGCCCTCCAGTGGGGAATGGTCACACCACAGTCCTTTTTCCTCCATTTCCTCTCATTAGGATTTGGGGCATGCATGCCATTTTCATAAGCCACTGGGCTGGGACTTGAACCACGGTCAGCCACCTGGGACCTGGTGCTCTGAGCAGAGCACTCAACCACTGCACTACTGGGCCAGCCCATGTTTATTTCATAATATGCATTTTCTATTAATTTCTTGAGGACCCCCTCATATATTTTCTCTACTTGAGATGAGATTCACAAAACGTAAAATTAACCTTTTTTTTTTCCTTCAATGAGGGGGAACATGCACTTGAGAGAGAAAAAGTAACCCCCAATGGGGCGTAGTCCCGTCATCTCTCCATCCTGTCAGGATTTGGGGCATGTATGCACACATATGCCTGGCATGTTCCTCAAGCCACCAGGGCCAGGACTCAAAGCAGGGTTGGCCTTGTGGGATCTAGCTCCCCAATCACTAGGCTATGGGGCCAGCCCCAAATTAACCCTTTCAAAGTGGACAATTTGGCAACATTTAGTACACACACAAAGTACAGCCGCCGCCTCTGTCTGGTTCCAACGCATTGTCGTCCCAAAGGGAATCCGTACCTACTGCACAGTTGCTTCCCATTTCCCAGCATCCCCCAGCCCCTGGCAACCGCCAATCTGCTTTAGGTCTCCATGAATGGACCTCTTCTGGACACTTCATACTAATGGAATCATACATTATGTGACCTTTTGTGTCTGGCTTCTTTTTCTTTGCTGAGGGATATTAAGAAGGTGAGGCTGATGGGGCAGTCTGGTTGGATATGGGGGAGAGGAATAACTTGAATCTGACCCCTCTGTACCCCTCAGTGACTGGGGAGCTGTTAATCCTGGGGACCTGTGGGCAACCACGTGGAGATGCCCAGTCTCAGGACCCTCCAGGCTGGGTTGGAGGTGTACATCTGCAAGTCAGCAGCCTGGGGGTGTGGTTGATGTCAGGGATGAGCAGAGAGCATGGGGCCAAAGCTTCAATCCTGGGGACAGAGGCAGTTTCCACAACAGAAACTGTGAAGAGTCATCCATAGGAGAGGAGAAAAGTGGGGTGTTCCTGCAGGCAGGAGAGGAGCTGCGTGTTCAACCTGCTGATCCCAAATCATTTGAGAGTCTAAGAGGCTGTGGACTTTCTCCCAGAAAAATGCACGCTGAGGTATAATTGATTCTATCATTTCAGCACAACTTAGGCCCCTGCGATAGTCATACATCTCAGGTTAACAACGCATCCAGGTGCAGGCCATCCCTAGAGTGCAGCGGTTAAGCAGTGTGCATAGGGAGCTGGATCCCACATGGCCAGCCGTGGTTTGGATCCTGGTTCCAGCCGCTTGTAAAACACGTTAAGGTATGGGAGCAGCAGGTGGCGTGGTGGTTAAGGCACCGGACACTCCCGCATGACGGACCACGGTTCACGGGGCAAACCTGGTGGCTTTCTCTCTCTCTCTCTCTGTTTCTCTCTGATCAAATTAAAATAAATGAATGAATAAATAAAGTTAAATAATTCTTTTAAAAAAACATGTTAATGTGTGCATGCATGCTCAAAATCCTGACAAGACAGAAGAAAAAGGATGGATGGATGACCATACCTTGTTGAGGGGTAATCTCTCCCTCTTTCTCTCGCTCTCTCTGGCAAGTACACACACCCTTTAGCAATTCAAAAAAATACTAGAAATACCCAAGCTGATCATAGCTAGCGCATGGATAAATAAAATGTGGTGTAGCCATACGTGGACTATCACTCAGCCTTGTAAGGGAGTGAAGAGGCCCAGCCACAACGGTGCATGCTGGCCCATGCTGCTACTTGGCAAGCTGAGGCCATGCGGGATGCTCCTGGGGCCCTTGCTTGAAGACAGTTGCAGCTCTCCCATCTCTAGCTTCCAAAGCTTCCCGGGTGCTGTGATTTAGATCCTGTCTGTTGAGATTTGTTCTAGATTTTTCCTATCCTTCCCTCTCCACAGTCCATGGTGGTTGGCATCTTCCACACAACTCCCTGGCTCTAAATGGGATTGTCCTCTTCTCCTCCTTGCCACTGAGGCAGGGTCCAGGCACAGGTCCAGCTCCAGCCATCGCTGCTCCTCCTGCCGTCCCTCTGAGAAAATACAAGATCTCTGGCCGGGGGCCCTACCACTCTTGTAAAGGAGCCTCATCCCATTTTGACTCAAGGGCCCCAGCAGCGTGGCCTGGTCCCACCTATAGCTGCTGGACAGAGGGTAGCATCTCCTGAACTGACAGGGTAGTGAGGAGGGATGTCTGGAACCATCTGGAGCCACCAGGCAATCTGCACTGGCGCCATGGAGCCTGGCCTCACCGCTGTCCCTCTCCCTGCAGAGTACTCGGTGGTGGTGCCGGAATCTGTCTTTCCTGGCCTCTTCATGCTGGGACTGTTGCTCTGGAGCCTGGTCGAGTACCTCATCCACCGCTTCCTGTTCCACATGAAGCCCCCCAGCGACAGCTATTACCTCATCACGCTCCACTTCATCATGCACGGCCAACACCATAAGGTGAGCGGGTGGCCCATCCCGGGGCTGTGCAGCCGGAAATAGCTCCCAGGAACTCCAGATCCTCCTGCACGTCTGGTCGTGGGAGTGGCGGGCCCCAAGCGTATTTGCTTCTATTCAGAGGGGTGGTTGGGTCAGGTATCGTCATCTGAGCCAGGCAGGACAGAGCCAGCACGCGTGTGCATGCCATCATCGTTCATACCGGGCTCTCTGCATCTCCCTTCGCACTGTTTTTCTTCTTCACAACTTATTCATTGATTCATTCAGCAAATGTTCATTGAGTACCTACTGTGTGCGAAGGACTGTTCTGGACTTTGCAGAACAAAACAGACAAAACTCCTTACCCTCCCAGAGCATCCCTCTGAGGATGGTGCTACGGTTCTCCCCATTCCGCAGAGCAGGAAACTGAGATTTGGGGAAATTAAGGAACTAAGGAACTCACCCAAGGTCACACCCAGCACACCCAGGGTGTTCTGAGGATTCCAGAGCCTGTGCTCTCAACCACTCACCACCCTGGATTCTTCGAGGACTGCAGGGCAATCCCAGAACTGGGCGGGAAGGCAGGTCTACCCAAAGGATGCTACGTCCCCCCAGTGGCCTCTCTGTGCCTGCCCTCTGCTGTTCTTGGCCTGTCCAGGGTGAACCCAATGAGCACCCAGGCTCTGGACTGCCCTTACATTTCCATCTGTTCCCCCGCACTCTGTCCTCTGCCCAGCCTAAATCAAAGAAAATGCGGTGTAAATCAGAGAAAATGCGGCAGACATAATGCCTTCAGGACCCATGCTCAGATGAGAACAAAACAAGCTGCAAAGTAAAAACAAGGTCCTCACGCTGGTGATACTGAACTTAGATTTCCCCTTGTCTCACATCACGCCCATCCCAGATTCCTGGGCCACTCGCCAGTCCTCTCCTGGCTTGGAAATGGGGAGCAAGACAATCCCGTAAAGTCTTCCAGGCCTGGGAACCTGCCCACCCCAAAGTCACCACAAGTGCCACACCTGCCCATGCCAGGCACTGCGCCCTCACCAGGATGTCTGGGCTGCTCTGCCCCCATCTTCCACAGGGAACGTCTCCGGCTAGGCACGTTGTGACAGCAACAGTCCCCGGAGCTGTGTCCTGACACTCTTTGTCCACAGGCACCCTTCGATGACTCCCGCCTGGTCTTCCCCCCGGTGCCAGCTTCTCTGGTGATCGCCACCTTCTACGTGTTGTTGCGGCTCATCCTGCCCGAGGCGGTGGGGGGCTCGTTGTTTGCGGGGGGCCTCCTGGGCTACATCCTCTACGACATGACGCATTACTACCTGCACTTCGGCTCGCCGCACAAGGGCTCCTACCTGTACAACATGAAGGCGCACCACGTGAAGCACCACTTCACACACCAGAAGTCAGGTGAGCGCGCCGGCACCTCCCGGCCTCGCCGTTGGTTGGACATCTCCCACCGAGTCCCCGCCCAGGGCCAGGCACTGTCCCGAGTACTGGGCCTTCCCAGAGGGGTCTTTCCACCCACTCGCTGTGGCAGGCAGCTGCGCAGACAGACAAGGAACTCCATCAATAGCGAAGGGACTCCTAGACAGTGCTGAGTGCCTGGAGAAAAGTAAGCAGGCTGGTTATCCCAGGAACCACACAGGTGGGGGAGGGCTCTAGTACCATCCAGAAAAATATCACACCGCGTGGGCCGCCTGTGAGGGGAGTCTTCAAAAGTTCATGGAAAATGCATATGATTAAAAAAAAAACTGCCCAGGGATTTCAGATTTTTTCTGCACCAAAATAATACTGTAATTTCATTTTTCCATGAACTTTGGCCACGTAGAAAGCAAAAACAGAGCTGGCCCTGGGGGCTTGTGGTTAAGGGAGACAGATCCCATGTGACCAACCACGCAGTTTGAATCCTGGCCCTGGCAGCTTGAAGAATGCTGAACTTGTGTGCATGCATACCCTAGATCCTGACAGTATGGAGAAACGGAGACGAGGCTGCAGCCTGACAATGCACTTCGAAGGCACTTTGTCTCTGTCACCCTCTCTGTGATTTTATGCAACCTCCAGCAAAGGAACAAAAGGCAAAATAGGCACATGAAAATACTTTCTTATTTTTTTCCATCTGACACATGCACTCTTAGAAAGAGACAGAAGAAAACTGAGAAATCACTCCCCAGGGTGGATAGCCACACCACAATCCCTTCTCCTCTGTTCTTCTCTAGGGATTTTAGGCATGCACGCACATGTGCCCAGCATGATTCTCAAGCCACAGAATTCAGGGCTCAAACTGCGGTTGGCCATGTGGGAGTCCAGCTACCACACCACCTGCTGGCCCCAAAAGGACTTTTAATAATATGTCTACTCAGGACCAGCAGATGGTGTAATGGTTACGCTGGACTCCCACATAGTCAACCCAGTTTGTGTCCCAGACCTGGCGGCTTAAAACTCACACCAGATGTGTATGCATGTGTGCCCAAAATCCCAAGAAGAAAATGGAGGAGAAAGGATTGAGGCATAGCCATCCTCCCTGGGAGGTGATTCCTTGCTTTCTGTCTCTCTGCCTCTCTCTATCTCTTTAGGGAGCACATATACCCTATAGCAAAAAAATCTCTCTCTAAAAAGAAAAAATATATATATATGTGTGTGTGTGTTTATGTGTGTATATATATTATATAATATATATATATACATACATATACATTCAACCCAATATAACCAAAATATTATCCTTTCACCAGTTAATCAGCATTAAAAAATCATACATAAGCTATCTAACATTCTTTCCTATATTAAATTTCTGAAATTCAAGGTATATTTTGACATCTCAATTTGGATACTTTCATTGAAACTACCTTATATCTAGATTTTTATAAAATACGCAGTCAAGGGACCAGCAGTTAGCGTAATGGCTATGTCGCTGGACTCCCACGTAGTCGACCATGGTTCGCGTCCCGGACCAGGTGGCTTAAAACTCATGCCGGGTGCGTGTGCATGTGTGCCCAAGATCCCAAGAGGAGAATGAAGAAGGGATTGTGGCATGACCATCCCCCCTGGGGGGTGATTTCTCGCTTTCTGTCTCTCTGTCTCTCTCTGTCTGGTGAGCGCACACGCCCTATAGCGAAAACCTCTCAAAAAAAAAAAAAAATACACAGTCAAAAAAAATAGATTCACATTCATGAGTTGCTCCAAACAATTTTAAAAGTTTGCCAGTGACAGGCTGGCCCTATATGCTAGTGCTGAAAGGAGCCACATCTTACACGGCCAGCCATGATTCGAGTCCCATCTCCGGCGGCCTGAGAAACATGCCAAGTGTGTGTGCGGGTCGAGAAGTGGAGGAAAAGAGATTGCAGTGTGCCCCCGTGGGGGTGCGCTCTCTCTCTCCTTCTATTTCTGTCTCTGGCAAGCACTTCTAACCAAAACAAACAAACAAACAAACAAATAATATATGTATGTGTGTGTGTATATATATGTATATGTGTATATATATGTATAACTAAATCGAGTACCAATTTTTACATGGAAATCTGAATCAATCAGAATGAAATGAAATGAGAAATTTCCCCACACTCAATAGTCACGAGCAGCTAGAGGCTACTGTGCTGAACTGCAAAGCTCTAGAAAAAATGACCCAGGAAGGTGTCACTGCAGAGATGTCATAGAGCTGAGGTCCATGTGTCTGGAGGGGCGTCCCAGGGGCAGCTGGACAAGGCTCTGAGGCAGAGATGCTGGAGGTGAGAGACAGAGGAAGACGCAGGGGCGAGGTATCCCAGGGTACCGGGCTCTCAGGCCAGATACAGAGTTTGGGTTTACTCCAGCATCCTAGGGACCCCAGCCCGGCCCTTGGCTTCTGCCAGAAGGGCCACGAGATGCTGAAACCTTTGGCACGAGCTGGCTTCACGCCCACGCACACTCACGTTCACGTCCATCCCTGCCTTGACAGCACCTCATCTCTCCCCATCTGTCTCCCTCTCCAGGATTTGGCATCAGCTCTAAATTCTGGGATTACTTTTTCCATACCCTCATCCCAGAGGAACCTCACCCGAAGACGCAGTGACAACTCCTGACCCCTTGCCCTGCCCGCAGCCTGGCCCTGGCCCCTGTCCCGCCCCATTTTCACCCCTACCCCCACCCCAGCTGGACCCTGCTAAGAAGGTTGATGTGGCCAAGCAGGATGGGCTCCATCTACGCCCTCCCCCAGGGCTTAGCGTGCTGCCAAGGGCACCCTGCAGCAGGACGGCTCTGCTGGTCACACCCTCTTGGGCCAGATGGCCCTCAGGGGCTGGATCGTTTCTGGACCCTTCCTGCCCAGAACTTCGGCTGTAGGACTGCATGAGATCCGGCCAGCAGGAGCAGCCCCAAGGGGAATGAAGGAAACTGACCCCTGGGCCTAGCCCGTGCCCACCTGTGCCTCAGACCTGGGGCTCCCTAGGACCTGCCCCACTCAGTGGAGCCAGCAAGGGGTGAGTCTGCCTCCTCCTGCCCTTCCAGAGAAGGCGGAGGGGCTCTGAGGTGGGCAAAGGGCTGCGCCATGGAGAGACAGCGTGATGCCTCTCATAGGCCACCCCAATCCCAGGGCCGCCCCCTGCCAACCGCAGAGGCCAGCAGCATGGCCAGCTCCCCAAGGCTGGGCACATCCAGCGCTCTGGTGGCTAGCCCTCACCAGCCTGTGCCCATGGGCAAGGGTGGCCGACCGTGGCCTCCAGACTGGAAGGAGCCTGGGCCTTTCTTTAGGGATCACCAGCTGCTCCGGCCATCGCCCCGGCCTCTGAATCACAAGGCTGCTCCCCAAGGGAGGCTTGACAGACCTCTCCATTGGTGGGAGCCCCACCCCATCCTTGGGGGTTCTTGGCCCCCACCAGGATCCTGCCATCCAGTGCCTCCTGAAGCCAGAGGAGCCTTCACATGGTGCCTTATCTCTCTCCCTGCCGCTTCCCGCCCCTTCCCCTACCCCAGAGCCAACAGATGAGGTTCCCACCCCTCTTCCTTGTAACCAAAACCCTCACTGCTCTGAAGAGGGTCTTATTTATAAACAATGTAAATGCCCTCAGTCTGGCCCCAGACCAAGCAGTGGGCCAGACGGCCCTTTCTAATCGTATGTGTGGCGCTTATGTAAAAAAAACAGTCTCATCCGGTTTTTGTTCCCTTCTCACCCACAAACCATTACTACTTGAAACTTTTTAAAAACTCAATGAGTTTAGCAAAGGCTGAAGAGAAGCGGTTCGACCGATCTTGTGATTTGTACTGTTTACTGCAGAGCTATTTAAAGATTTTGGAATAAATATACAAAACTACAGTTGTGAAATAAAGATGTAAATAAATTGTATATTTTGAAAAATAAAACATGGAAAAGAAACCAACAAAGAGCCATCTCTGCTTGTTGAGGGTGACTCGTTGGACCCCATTGTAATGGGGAAGGGACAGTGGTGGGGAGGGAAGGATTTTTTTTTTTAATAATTATTTTATTTAACTTTGTTTTTTAATTTGACCAGAGAGGGACAGAACAAGAATGAGAACGCGGGAGAGAGGGAAAGTGGGAAAGGAAACCGCCAGGTCCTGGACTTGAACCGTGGTCGGTCATGTGGGAGTCCAGTGTCCATAACCACCACACCACCTGCTACCGAGGGAGGAGAGGTATAGATCTGGTTGTGTAGAATTGCTGGGCAGCTCAGTATGGTGCCGCAGGTGCAGTCAGTTGCAAACCCAGCTGCGGGGCTGCAAGTCACATGGCTAACCTATGGGGTCAGATCCCTGGATCAGCTTGAGAATGCTCTGGGCATGAATGGGTGCCCAAGGTCCTGAGGAGCTGGAGGGCTACACAGAGGAGACTGAGCTGTGATGAGACTCTGTCAAGAGTGTGTCTCTCAGGACTAGCAGGTGGCATGGTGGTTAAGGCGCTGGACTCCCACATGGCCAACCACGGTTCAAGTCCCAGCCCTGGTGGCTTGCTTTCTCACTTTCTCTATCTCTCTCTCTCTCTGTCTCTCTCTGGTGAGCATCTACACCAAATTAAAACATAATAATAAATGAGGGACCAGCAGATGGCATAGTGGTTACGTCGCTGGATTCCCCCATAGTCAACCACGGTTTAAGTCCCGGACCCGATGGTTTGAAACTCGCACCAGGCATGTGTACATGCGTGCCCAAAATCCTGAGAGGAAAAAGGAGAAGGGATTGCAGCATGACCATAACCCCCTCCCCACCGGGGAGTGATTTTCACTTTCTGTCTCTCTGGCACATACTCTATAGCAAAAATCTCTCCAAAAAAATGATAATAAATAAAATTAAATAATTATTTAAATATAAGTTTTTCTCTGTCTTTCTGTCTCTAGCACACATCCTCTATCAATAAAAATATAAATAAACCAGGCCCGCCCCATAGCCTAGTGGTTTTAGGAGCTGAATCCCACATGGCTGACTGCGGTTTGATTCTCGGCCCCCACGGCTCGGAAGAAAGCCCAGGTGCCTGCGAGCACATGCCGCAAATCCGCAAACCCCAGCAGGATAAAGAAATGGAGAAGAGATTATAGCATGACTATGCCCCTAGGGGGTGCTTTCTCCCTCTCTGTCTCTCTCTGATGAGCACATGTACCCTCTGGCAATAAAAGCAAATAAACTTCAAAAAGTCGCTGTGGCAATGATAAAACGCTGCGGACTCTTACGTGTGTGTTCGGTTTATTATTGTTTTCATGTGCCCTGAAGACAGCGCTTACCTTTGTGCCCTAACACCTGGGGGATCGCTCCCACCAATCACTTCTGGGGAGAAGTCTCCAGAAATTTATCCGACTCCCGCTGTGACTCCAGTCGGTTTTCCTAAAGTAATGCCCAAGGCAGGAATGAGAACTCCCAGCCAGCTCCGTGTGGGTGGGACAGTTCTCAGAACTCGGCCACCGCGTTAACGCCACTTGGGAGCCCGGCAAAGTGCGGCCCCGAAGCCTCGTGAGCCTAATCCCATCCAGGCCCAAGGGAAGTGGATTCTGCCCAGGGACAAGGACTCAGCAGCGGCAGAAGTGAGATAGTGATGGCGGGGCTGTGGGAGGGAGCCCGGCCCTGCAGCCTCTCCCAGCTCTAGTCCTGCTGCAGCTGCCAGCCTGAAGGTAATGGCACCTGTCAGAGCCACCCGTGGTCAAGGTCCTCGGTGCAACCTCTGGACTCTGTCCCATCCTGGCAGCAGAAACCCCAACCTGCACTCACTGGGTAGCGCTGGAATTCTGCCCCCAGAGTGTCAGACAGAGCGGGAGGGAAATCACAGAGGAGCAAAGACCAGCTCCACGACTAGCGAACACACGAGCCCACGGAGAAAAGGCTGAGATGTTTTAGTGAAGAAAAAAAAAGTTTTAATCTCTTTAAAAAAGAGTAAAATAAGGCTGGACCCAGAGCACATGGTTACGTGCTGGGTATTAGGAGCTGGGTCCCACATGGCTGACCACGATTGGAATCCCAGTCCCAGTGGTTTTAGAAACATAGCAGGTGTGTGTGCCCAAAATCGTGATGGGAAGGAGACGTGGAGGAAAAGGATTGCGACATGACCATGGCCACTGGAAGTTCTCTATTTCTTTCTTCCTTCCTTGCTCTCGCTCGCTCGCTCTCGCTCTCTCATGCACACGTGCCCTTTGGCAAACAAACAAACAAACAAATAAATAAATAAATAAATAAATAAATGAGTTAATGAAGTCCCACTGTGCATACTGCTAAGACCCCACTTAGCATACTGCTAAGATACCGTGCTCCCTGTCTGGGGCCAATCAGAGGCTCAGGTTTGATTCCTAGTCCAATCTAAAGGCCAGGTGTGGGGGCACACACCTGTAATCTCTGCAACTCAGGGAAGCTGAGGCAGCAGGATCGTAAGCTTGAAGCTGGCCTGGGCAACACAGTGAGACCTTGTCTGAAAAAGAGCAGTGCGTGGTGGCGTGGCCTCGAGTCTCAGCTGAATCTGAGCTAAATAATAGTGGCCTTGAAAGACGAGCAAAGCACAGCCTCTCTCAGTTGATGCTTTGCAGCCGGCGGCAGAGGTTAAAGGAAACGGTGTTTCAGCCAGAAAAAGCCAGGTGGGGTTTATGTAGACCACGGGACCACAAGATGCTCCACAGCTGCAGTTGATAATAGAGGGGACCTGGCTTTACTGTCCATGTCGCCCTTCCCCCATGGCCTATAAAAGAATCAACCTGCGAGCGGCTCAGGGTGTGGCATTCTCCACCAGAGACGTCTGGGCTGATCCGCTCGATGCCTGATCCCCACTCCTCTCTACTTGCGTACTTCTGTGTCTGTGTGATTGTTCTTTCCAAGATCCACCATCGATCCCACTCGGTGGGGTGTGTGTGGGGGGTCTCCTCCCGCTTTTTGCATAACAAGTCTCAGCATCAGTTACTTGGGAAACTGAGGCAGGAGGACCACAATATGGTAAGACATTGTCTTTCTAAAAAAAAAAAGTGAAATAACACTGGTAAATGAGTCTGTGGCATGGTCATGAGAAGATACAGGGAAAAGTAACAGCAAAGTGAAAATACGAAGCCAAACTTTGAATAAAAGCTTCAGTCTGACCAATTTCCCCAGGGCTCCCCGCTGTGGCTGTTACAACTTTTCAATGGGGTTGGGAAAATCCTCAGGGCCACAGGGAGGAGGATGAGCCCCACTTTACAAGGGGGGCCTTGATATTTTAAGGCGCTTACGTGCATCTGCACAGAAGAAGACATGGATAAAGGAGGGGCTCTGAGGCCTTCACCTCAAGCGGGTCGGCACTCAGGCTGCATCCCAGCCTGTGACTAGCTGGAAGAGCTGGAGGGTTTTATCAAGTGAAAGAGTCAAAGATTAGATGGCAGTGCGAGCACAGGGCATTATGAAATGCCAATATAGCTGACATGATAGGAACAATCTGGAATTTACGGCACGTGATTGTGCTTATCTCTGTAGTGGGAGACACCATAACCATCCAGAAAGTTTAATGATGTCCTCTGGCCTAGTGGTTAAAGGAGCCAGATCCCACATGGCAAACCACTGTTTGAATCCCAGCCCCGGGGCTTGAAAAATACCTCAGGTATATATGTGTGCACGCCCAAATCCAGATTGGATGGAGAGATGGAGGAGAAAGACTAGTATGGCCATGCCCCTTGAGGGCTTTCTCTCTCTGTGTTGAGTGCAAAAGCCCTCTGCAATTAAAAAAAATTATATGTGTATATTATATTATGTGTATATTATATATGCAATTTTATATAATGTGTATATTATATATATATTATATGTAATTTATATTTAATATTATATATAATTTATATATAAAATATTTGCTCAGGGCTGTTCAAAGTCTGATGAGTAGAAAGCCAATATGCAGGTAGACTGACCCTCGACGATGCTAGCAGTTTGCCTCACCTGATTCTCCGCAATGAGCAGCTGTCCTGGCCAAGTAGCCATTGTATTTGTTTCTGGTATTGTGCTTGGTCTGGGTGTTTCCTGGCTGACCTAAAGAACTGCCCTCCTCAATCTGCTCCCTTCCACCTCTCCATTGGCTCTAGCCTCTGACCTCTGTCTTTGGACTTTGTACAATTTCTTCTTTTTTAAAGATTTATTTATTTAATTTCATTCATTATTATTATTTTTTTAATTTGACCAGAGAGTGACAGAAAGTGAGAAAGCAAGCTACTAGGTCCGGGACTCAAACTGTGGTCTGCCATATAGGAATCCAGCGCCTTTAACCACCGTGCCACCTGCTGCCCCCAGACTTTGTGCAATTTCTTAACACATCAGTACAACTACCTACCGACTTGTAACAGGGCCCAATAAATTCTGGTGTGATCTCCACCGTATAACCGGCCAGTAACATTATCTTGTCTTTGTTTTTCCACCTGTTCCCTGGCCTCTGCTGCCCCCTGGAGGCAGCATGCAGCCCTGCCCCATTTTATGACTGCTTTAGCCGCGACTGTTTTTGGAAGTAGACACTGTGATTTTTAAACTCCAGCACTTTCCCACTTTACCTGTTCTTTTACTTTTGTGCCTCACCCACCATTTTTCAAAGGAAGCTGAAACTATGTCTATGAACTTTCCAATAATAACTTTCTGAAAAGCTATGATGGCTGGAGAATTCTAACTAGTTTTCTTTACGGTTACGAGTTTCCCAGTGAACAAATTTTCACATGTAAAGGATGCCACAGGATGAAGTCAAGTGAAATTTGGAAAACGTCAGAACTCTCACACTCATGCCATTCTAGACTCATATAGGAGAGACAAAGACATTGGAAGAATAGAAGAATCTTGTTCTGGAAAAAACATAAAGGTGGGATCCTATCTTCATTTAGGTTCCTTAAAAAGGAAAACCAGTAACAAGAACATGGATACAGATCATCTATTCGGGAGGTGATTGC